CTCTGGGGCTACCCGTCTGTGGGCAGAGCACACCCTCACAGAGTTTAGTAATCTTTTTTTCCATTGACTCAGGATTTCTTCCACTAAAAGGTCCTAGCTTGAATCTCTTCAGCCAGTGTCATTTCCTTCAACGTTCAAGTTTGCTGTCTGATCTAAACCATGTATTTCAAGATATATTTTTTAACGGCCTCCATAATTCTCTCAATTATTTTATCTTTTGATCATGTACCTTATAGCAGATGTTTTTTTTTTTTTTCTGGCTGATATGGAGAGACTCTTCCTCAGTTCTGTGTGATAAAGGATTTTTCCCCTCTCTCTTCCCAAGATGTTCCCCCAGTAGAAGAAATTCTGCCTTATAGGGCATTATATCCCATACTAGGAGGTGTCTAAATGTATATGGATCCATTGATGCAGATATGGGCTATGGTCCAAATCTGTCACTTCACTCATAATTTGAGCATTTCAAAAAATTGTTTTTGTAGTCTTTTGGCTACTTTAATCCCTGACTATATTCTGTCTGTTATTCATTCTTCTCCTGATAGCTCTCCAGGAAGCACTATTTGAATCCTTTTCTTGGTAATTATTCTAGACTGCTTTGCAAAGAAAAAACCTGAATTTACCTATTACCTGTACTTTTGATTCTTATTTCCCAACTGTTTCAGTTCTGGAACCCTATCAAGGGGCTATTGCTTTTGAATAGTCACACTGATGTTCCTTTCCACAGAAAACCGTTTGGAACTACTCTCATAGCTCCCATTTTGTTCTGAACTCCCAAGGATGAAGATTTAATCCACTTGAAAGCTGTTTTTTTTAATGTTAACATTTAAATTGGGAAGCATCTGGTATCTTTAAAAGGTAATTCAAGAAAATCCCCCCCAAATTTACTTCTGAATGTAAGACTGCCCTTTTTCTTTATTAAGCACAGAATTCTGAGTAGATTAGTGAATTTCGCTCTGAAGGTATGAAAGAAAAATGAGCTGTGCCTTGTTCATAGGACTGAAGCAGGAGGTATAGAAGGCAAAATGAAGTGATGTGTAAGAGTGTAGGTACAAGTATTTTCTTCAGCAGTGATGAGAATTTCCTCCCCATCAGCTATGGGTTGCTGTTCCCTCGGTGATGTCAGTACAAGTGTAAGTGTATGTAGGGCTGTATTATAAAACATATCCCTAAAATCATCCAGATTGAAAAAGCTTCTTTGGATGCTATATGTATTTCTTTTGTGCTGATTCTTTGTCCTGTGGCATACTGGATCGGGGGACTGATGCTGCTTAAAACTCACCCGGCTTAGAAAAACGATTAATTTGCAGACAAATCAGTTCCCTGGTCTGACTTGCTCGGAAGCTTTTAAAGTGCTAATATCAGCACGGTGAAGGGAGCAGGAACGTGTCAGAGAAGGGTGGTAGGAGAGGACTGCCTGGTTTGGCAGTGTGTTGGTGGAAGGTATAGGAGGGACTGTGGCAACAGTTTTGGTTTGTGGGTTTTGTTTTGTAGTTTTCTTGGAATTACACCTATTGTTTTGGCTGAAAGAAGTCTTAAATGTTCATTAAAATCCAGGCTTTTCACCTTCTGTGATTTCTCATCCAAGTACTGACATGACCTTAGGCTGATGAGCAGTGATTTTTAAGAGCAAAAAGAAAAAATCTTGGTTGGCAGCCAGCTTCATTTTTACGAGGGTTATTTTACACTCCTGCGGAACAATAGTAATTCAAACTCTGATTCCTTCAGGCACTTGCTCAGAACAAATCATTGTAGTGGCATATTGCTAAAATTGCATTAGTGTGGAAACTTGGTCTCTCTAGCAACATTAAGCAGTAAGGTGATAAAATAACACAACTTCAGGTAGGTGTATATTAGGAGTTCCTGCACCTGGTAGCCCAATAGAGACAACGTGGCTACAGTTCCATGTTGCCAGGTCCAGCCTGCAGCAAGGATGAGAATATGTTCCCAATAGGCACACATACGCGCGATACATATATACATATACACATGGCTGGCCCAATAGACTAACACAGAAACCACAGCACTCCCGCAAACACAAACAGCACCAGGGCCTCATCCTTTCCTCTCTATGGCTGATCAGGATGAAAGCCTGTTTGTGGAAAATTATATATATGCTATGGATTCCTCCAGCAACTGCTGTTAGACACTTATTCTACACAGTAGCTGGCCCCTGGATCCCCTGGTCTCCTGGTTGCCTCACGCACAGATACAAACCTTGTAATGGGTCTTTCTGGTAACTGGTCCAGACTTATGACCTTACCAGCAGGCAACCTCCAGGCCTCACAGTCTCTCTAGTAACTGGCTTGGATGTCCTGGTCCCTACAGTAGCCAACTGTCAGACCCCTCTGGTCTCTGGACGTACGTCCTGATGGACGTACGTCCATCAGGCTGTATAAGGTGATCCGGAGAGCTTCTCCCAGTGACTCCTCTTGCTGGGCTTCATCCCAGTCCATGGGGCCTATGGTGTTTCTGCGACAGCCCAGGCAGCAGCTGGGGCAGGGGCCTCTGCTCCTTTGGTTGGGGTTGGTGAGGTTCCCAGCCTGTACCTGGTGAGGTGCTGCTTTGTGGTTGCGCAGAGGAGCCTTTCCTCACACAGCTTGAGATTAACTTTTTTTCCATCACTAAAATGTCAAGAGATTGGGTACTGCACAACTGCTTAAACATCAGAGGGTGCAGTGTAAACTTTTTTGTGACTCCTTAGTTCTGATACTGCCAACAGGTTAAAATGTGAGGCATATTCTAATTTTCTGTTGCAGCTGCTGAAGAACGCGTCAATTTTTAAAATGATTGTTAGGAAAAAAAAAAAGCCTATTCTACCCTTAATGTTAGTAAAGAGAGAAGTGTGTGGGGATAAAGGGAGGGCAGGGTGATTAAATGCAGTGGTTTTCATAAAGTGCTTCTAACCACATGTCGTGGATGGAGTGGGGAGTGAGGCACTTCACTTGGTACAGAGAAGCAACAATGTTTTATTGATTTAACAGAGTACAATTGTGAATAAGATAGCGACTTAACAAGGGTCAAATGGCAAGGTTCACTAAAGTTATTTACTGCGTGGAGGACAGGGTCAGGCGACAGTGTCAAGGAGACCCTCCCGTTGAGTCGTGAGGTTCAGAATGGACCCAAGGGATCCAGTCCTAGTCCCAGACTTGGTCAGCAGTTTATATCTAAGGTTTATGTGCATGGGCAATCAGAGATACGACTTAGCAAGGTCCGCAAAGCAAGCGGCAAGGAGGCCTTCCCGTTGAGTCATGAGGTTCAGAATGGACCCTCCAGATGGATCCAATCCTAGTCCCAGACTTGGTCAACGGTTTATATCTAAGGATTATATACACAGCAAAATTTGCCAAGTAGATGTCAGGGAGACCAAGACTTAGTCTAAGCTTTGTGCTTAAGGTTTGTGTGTACAATCAATCAGAGAGGTAACTTAACAAAGTTTCAAAGTTTTAGCATGCTATCAGTGTCACTTACAGAGGATCTATTGCTGGTAAGGAATCTCTGGACCTCAAGGAGTAACCTTGAGAGGCGTCCCTGCTCAAGAGGAGGTTCTGCAGTGCAGCCCACTGCCACGCAGGAGAGCTCAATGGGCTCTGGACCACCCCCTCTCTATGGGGGTAAGATGATTGACTCATTGTCATATTTGCATTCTAAATGGTGCTCAGTTAGCCCCTGTCCAGGTGCTGTTTATGAGGAGGTGATGTTTAGGCTGAGGGGGGAGAACAGCACATGGGCGGTGGAGGGGAGAAGCGCGCTGTCACACCACATGAGTATTTTGTTTCTTCAGTTCTATTGAAATGGACTTCAGACTATAACATGCTTTATTTAATCTCGACTTGAAAGCAATTCCAGCAAAGCAGACTGGGCAAATTTTGTTAGGTGGTATGGACAAGCCAAGTTTCAGAAATTGTTTAAAGCATGCTGGTATTCTAAATGGGAATTGACTTTAGCAGTTAAAGTCTCCCTTTGTTTAGTTGAATTTCTTGGTTTGAATATGACTTGTGTCTGCTTTGGGTTTGTTCCCCTTTGAGCAAACAAGTTCATACCTAGATCTTTATTGCCTTAAGATATTTCAAACTATAATTAGATTTCATTTTT